GAAAGGAATGAGCCACTTGTGTGGCAAAGCTGACAGACAACAGATGGACGAAACCAAGAGTTATACGGTGTCCATGATTTGTTAAAAGAACGGTAGAAAAGCCTATAACTCGAATCTGCCGTGGATACACGAAAAGCATAAAATCATAGCGGAAAGAAGAATTAGTCGCATAAGACCCAAATTACGAATTAGCAAATATTCTAGCTACTTCGTATATGCAATGTTCCGCAACACAAGGCCTGACAGGTATGTTGACGCATTTGTCAGTAAAAAACAATCTTCCGAAGCAATAATCCTCAACTGCTTCGTACTGTAATATGCCCTGCCTCTAGCTTATCAGAATCACAGCATTCACACTATGCAGTCAAGTTATCCACGCACCACTGCCCTCCTACAGATTTTTTTGCCTTAATTTTCTAGCCTCAGTAGTTCGGGTTCATTTAAGAATGCCAGTCTTTGAGGTATAATGGTTGAAGACACCTTCATTTGTGAAACTTACATATATATGCTGATATCCCATAACTGCATCGATATATCCGTAACAAGATTTACGATCCATTGCAAGGCGCTTTTAACAAGAGAGAACAAAAGCGACAGCGTAAAGTCTGAAAAACCGGCAGTAAAATGTGAAAAACACGAAACTTCCTCCGTATTTACTCTGTCGCAACCCGAATGGCAGCAAACCTGGTTCTCTGAACAAAAAATCGCCAAAACGACAAAGCAATGAAGCATTCAGATCAAGTTTTGTACGAAATTCCATGCGTATTCAGAAATCCAAGACATTTCATGACTTACTTATATAATCGGTAACTGTATTTTGACGTTTTCGCACTGAATTACGTTGCTTCCGACCACATCTCGAAGTATCGGTTGGGACCAGTTCACGTCGAACACCGGCCGTCTTTTTTACTGCTGCAAAATAATTCAGTAACCACATGAAAAATAAGTTTTTGAAGTTTTTAGAAACTTAGTTCTTTAAATAAACTGTGCAAAAATTTATAGCTGGACAAGTAGACCCTGAAATAACAGCTGTTTTGAGTGTTCTGGATATATTTAGAAGAAAATACATATATATCATTTTCC